CAGCTTGTGGTATTGAAGTTTAACATTGTTCTGCATTTCTTCCTTTTGCAGCGACAACTACTGCACTCACCTTTCCAATGAGGCCTTCCTCAATTTCGGTTGAGGGACTGGAGAAGAAAATATATGAAGTAAATGACTGATTTGTATGATCTGAGTTCGGTCCTTTTTTTCCTGGGGGTCTCTCTGCTATTTATACTTGTCAAAGATGACCTTCGAACTGCTCTTCGAACCGTCGAATTGCTCCTCCATGATCGCTGATCATGTTGCCTTAGAAGTAGCTCCATAATGCCACCATTTGCAGTTAGGCTTCCCTCCTGTATTTGAATTTGAATATGAGTAACCGTTGAAGCCACGTCATCTTGCATCCCGTTGTTGATCTAGTGTTACTCAGATCATGTGAGAACCAATATTTATTGCCACGTGTACGATCAGGATTGAAGGCTTGAATAACCTTCCTTTATTACCCTTACTCTGCCACGTGTCGAACTGTAACTGGCTTTTACAAAATATGTAGCCAACAAGAATTAAGTAAAATTATATTTGTTTTGATAGTAGTTGTTAATGTGGGAATTGTTAAATTATTACCCTATAAAAGAAATATAAAATATTAAAACAAATAAAATTGTGATTTTTACTTAACAAAAAAAATATAAAAACATTAAACATTAATGTTTAAAAAAAATGCATGCCATGCAAATAAAAAAAATAATAAATAAAAAAAATAAAAAAACCTAATCTATGGGACTAATTTCCTAATACCATATCCACCTCTTTCATCTCAATCCTAACACCATGGCCCATCATAATCCCTTGGGATTATGAATCTCTTCATCTCCCAAAATAAACACAACATATAGTGGATGCCACCTCCATCTCAATCCCAATTCCATCTCTATCTTCCAAAACAAACGGGGCCCTAGTGTCTCGATGGTAGGGTCTCTTCCCATGGATTAGGTCAAGTTAGACTTGCAATTGGTTACTCCGAAGCCTGGGTTCACGAATGCTGTGATGACACCGCATAACATTTTTTTTTCAGTTCAAAAAGAAGAAAAAAAAACCTCTCATAATTTATACAACCCTTCATTAACTATATATATATATTTTTTATTATTGATACTCTAAAGCACTTTTTTTAAATTTAATTATGACAGATTAATCCGTTGATCAAAGTCTCTACATTTCATTAGAAATTTAGATGTTCGACTTTCCACACTTATAGACAATACAAATAACCTGTAAGACGATTCGAAACAAGAAAACTCAGCTAAAAAATAAACAAGAAGGGTAATACGCTGCCCTTACAGTTATCAAAGAAAACCCACGCAATTACTGAAATAATAATATACTTAGAAATGCCCCAAGAAGAGCACATTAGATAGTTCTACCGAGAATACTCAAATTGCCTCCAAGAACACAACTTAGATCGCATGTCAGCAATGATCCTAGAGGTCACTATTATATGTTGTATATTATTAATATAGTATTTCATCAGTTTGAAGTAGTTCTAGTTAATTTATGATATATCTCCCTAACAATTATCACAATTTGAAGAAGGGTCTTGCTAACAAGTATTCTTATGGTGTGTTTGGTTGAGGAATTTGGGGAGGGATTTGGAAAGGGAAAGGGAAAAGGTGTGTGAAACTATGTGAAATATAGGCATGATTTATTCGCATTTCACCTACCTTTTCCATTTCCCTTTCCAAATCCCTCTCCAAATCCCCCAACCAAACACAGCATTAAGGTATAAGTAAAAGACAAAAAATTTGAAGAATATAAGACATTTTTTACTAAATTCAATACACTTTTAATGAAATCAATATATTTTTTTAATAATTTTTCATATTTTAAGACATTTTATACACACCTTTTAATATTAAACAACGCATAAGAACACTCGTTAACATTTGCCTTTGAAGAATATGAGATAGGTAAATTTTGGAGACTCAAAGTATTAGAGTTTCTAGGCATATATATTGATATTGTTTCTCTTTCAACCTTCTAAGATTAAACCTTTTTTGACTTGTACATGAGACCATGATGAAATGGGTACCATAAGCATCTTTTCATAATGCTCTCATTGAAGTATAATTAGAACCCATTACCAAAACTTGACTATGAAATTACCAGAAGCTATTACTTTCCGTCAAAAGTCATTGTTGGGAGAGGAAAAAAAAATGATTAATTGAAATGCAAGAACAATAGAGCTTAATTATGGATATATGTTAATTAGTTTATTACCACTACATCAATGTGAACAGTGGGATAATTCAATCATCATCACTTAACACACACACATACCTGCAATCCATCTTACAACAAGACTTTAGAATTATTTAGAAAATAGTAATCTTAATTAAAGGGAAAGCTTAAGGTCTAAGCCGTCTTTGACCTCTTGATTGGGACCATTACTTGCTTCTTTGATATGATGAGAAGAAGAAGCCATTGGAGGAGAGCTTCTGAACTGAATATTTTCCATGAAATCTTCGCGTTGGAAAGACGGATTCCACACTGCTTTTGGCTTCTCGTTCCCATCAACCACCCTCCTCTTCCTCTCATTGTTGTCGTTGTTCTTTGCAATCTTCTGCTTCTGCATAAGTATATGATTGCGAGCTTCGCGAATGCTCCTAATTAGGGCAAAGAACTCCTCCATCTTCTTCTCCTCATCCTCATCCTGCTTCTCCAACTCCTCATCAGTATGATTATTACCATGCTCTTCATGGCATGTAATCTCTCTCTTTTTCATTATTGATGATCCTTCCATGTGATGTGAGTGAGATGTTGTGAAACTGCCAAAGCAAGAATTCGGAAACAGCTATGGAATGCACTTTCGTGGTTGCTTCTTGCAACACATACTATGCTATATACAAGGTCACGGTCAGTTCAAAAAAAAAAAAAAAAAAAAAAAAAGTCACGGTCCTCAGTGTTCGTAAAAATATTAAAAGTAATATTATAGGTAACGGTGATATCATGTTTATTAGGTGACAAATTAATGAAAAACCATAAATAAAATTAATTAGATAAGTTATTATATCTCTTACTAGTTCAATTAGAGTTCAGCTTGTCTTATATTTTAGATAGTCCGACCCATGAGTCTATTTTTGGATTTCATTTTAATAATTCAAACAGTTCAATGTGTAGAACTCGTCGAGTACTATATCCCTGTAAATAATCACATTGATCAGATATCGATAACTATTTGATCGGATCAGATATCTGTTAACTGTTTATTTTTCACCGTCTTTTTTTATTACAAATCTGTTCCGATCAAATAACTATTGATATCCGATCAATGTGATTTTTTCCACAGATATAGTACTCGACGAATTCTACATTGTGAACGGTTCGAATTATCAAAATAAGACCAAAAAATAAACTCATAAACCGAATTAGACGATCCAATCTTGATCTCAAACCTGAAATAAGTTGGACCTTCAATTATGATGTAATTTCTACAGCAATGCAAAATTCTGATATTAATGTTACCGTTATATTTAATATGATTCTCTCTTCATATATGATTCTCTCTTCAATCATTTGATTCTATTTATTTATTTATTTTTGTGTCATGACACTTGAAATTATTTGGTGTTCCCAAAAAGAGAAAAGTTAGGGATCATAAATTTTTTTTCATAAAAATGATCATGAAAGAGTTATGATCCTTAAATTATCTTGATTAGTGTGTGGTGCTTTATTCTAAGTGTAATTCAAGGGTCACAAAACTTTCATAATTATTTTCATGAAAGGTTTTTCATGATACAAATTAATTTTTTAAAAATACCTATTTACCCTTGTTTGCATATATACAAATAGACAAATAATTTACCATTTAGGAAAATTTTATATGCCCCAGTTGTGGTATTTGGTTATGACTTATTATGGTATTAGTTATAACTATTGATTATAACATTATTTTGATTGTGATTCAAAAGGTATTTTGTTATATCTTATGCAGTGTGTGGTTATAATTCTTATTTTTTAGTTATGATTAAAATGGATCTAATTATAATATCTATGATAATTAAAACCACAAAAGCTTGTGTACCATAGCATCACCTAAATGATTAATAGTATGATAATATATGTATTGAATGAATTTTTGTAATTCTCTATAGATTTTCTTTACTCATCTAGTAAATTAATTTTTTTTTTAAATAAGAGTAAAATAGGCATTTAAAAAAATTAATTTTTTATTTTAGTTTTTTCCGTTAGTTGTTTTAACAGTTGATTAACGGAAGGATTAAATTGTAATGAAAGTTTAAATCTTAGGGAGGTGATGTAATTTTTAAAACGTGAGAGGGGCACTTGTATTAAAAACAAACCTCAAGAGGTGTCAGTGTAATTTACCCTTAAATTTAGTAAGGGTAAATTACAAATACACCCCTGAGATTTGCTTAAAATATGAATTGCCTCCTGTGATTTGAAAAATTACAAATACCTCATTGTCAGAATTTTTTATTTAACAGAATTAATTGAAAAAATAAAATTTCCAATTGTTCACCTATACAATAATAAAATTATCTGAATTATTAATTGAAATAAAATTTTAACATTATTAAAAACTTTTAATTAACTTGATAATTTATTAATAAAATAATCTATTTTTTATGAAATTAGAAACCTTATGAGACATAATGTAATTTCTAGAACCATAGAAGATAATTTGTAATTTAAGTAAATCTCAGGAATGTGTTTATAACTTACCCATTTAGTAATGTATAAAATAAATTATTAATTGATGATTAATAAATACATGAAAAAATAAAATTATTTTAAATATTTTAATAGACCGTTATATTATTTAAATTAAAAAAATAAATCTAACTTTAAAATTAGAGTGACATTTGACTTAAAGTTATTTAGGGTTCATTTGGCATTGGCTTTTTTAGCCAATTTTTTTGTGTTGAGACTTTTTTAGCTTTGTTTGGTTTTTGTTTTGAGATTTTTTTTACTTTTGTGAGAGAAAAAGTATAATGATTATGGGTAAATTTTGTCTTAAAATATTTTGTCTTATTAACTTTTATAGTCAATTTTATCTTTTTGTAATTATTTAGCTCCAATACAAATGCCAAACTAGGGCTTATTATTCACTCGTGTGTGGAGGAACATGCTCGCTATTTTATGTGATCTTAGAGCATTCACACCAGTCTCTTCAAATTTTTAATCAAATTAGAGCTTAAAAATCTATTTTACTATTTTAGCTAGTCATTTATTAGTACCTACTACATCAGATTCTCTATTCTAACTTAATCTTATTGAAATATTATTTTCTTATTGTGTTTGTTATTTTTTATTTTTTATTTATTAAATTGATGAGTTACCTGCTAAACAATTCTTAAAAAATGAGAAAAAAATAATAAAATAAAATAAATTTGTCGTTGACCGGTCGGATGTTCAGCCAGACTTTCGGGCGGACATTCGGTAACACTAATCTGCTTATTGTAGCGATGAATAGTGCCTCGCTTGTTATAGTGAGATACTGTAGTAATCACAAATTTTGACGCGCTGTAAGCAAGACTGATAGACTTGATTTTTTGAAATTTATATCGCTAGTTTAGCTAAAAAATGATTTTACCCAATTTGATGAAGATGCTCTTAGAGCAATGGCCAACATTCTTAAGAACTCGTTTGGGATGTGTGTTGATTTTTATAATTTTTTAGTTTTTTTATTATTTTAGTTTGAGACTAAAGAGTCTTATTTGGGCTGAATTTTTTTTATTTTTTTGACTTTTGTGAGAGAAAAAATAAAATGATTATAATTTAGATGTGACATTTTATCTTATTAATTTTTTAACCTATTTTATTTTTTTATAACTATTTTAATTATGCTAAACTAGTGCTAAGAATCACATGATTATGTGGGACATATCTCATGTAAGGGGCTCACATGACGCTGTGGTGTAATTATTAATACTTCGGGAGTAATATTTCTATTCCATTAATAGATTGATACTTCATAGTATTTTATCACTTAAAATTTTAATATAAAAGTGTTAAATCTTATAATTTAGATTAATAACTGATGATTTAAAATATTATTTAAATATATATCAAAAGTATTGAATAATTTTTGGATGCCATGTAGCTTTAGTGGACAGGACATTATCCCCAATGCACTATGTAATTGCTCTTTACTTGCAAATTTTATTTTATTTTTTTAAAATTTTCAACAACTAACAGCTGTATATATATATATATATATATGCATCATGATTGATCATAGCTTCAATGAGGACGGTAAATGAATAGAGCCAGTAGAATTTTGCAATGTTTGTGATCAGTTCGTTTGTTTATTAAGTTAGAAAATTTAGCTTAAATTTGACTTGACTTGTTAATATTAATCAATTTGAATCTTGAATCTAGATAATATAATTTTTTTTATTATTGCTTATTTCATTTAAATATATAAATAATATATTTATTTTATTATTTAAATAAATAATAAACCACTACAAGAATTTACACATTTGCCGACCACTTTTGCCGACCAAAAAAATTTTGGTCGCAAAAAAATGACATTTGCTGACCAAATTAAAATTTCTTAGCTAAATTTTTTTTCTATTACCGACCAAAATTTTTTTGTTGCAAATAAGTACTTTTTTGCGACCAAATTACAATTTTTGTCGCCAAAAATCTGGGCGGGAGAATAAAATCTGGGCGGGAGCTGTATGATCTTTCAGCGACTAATATAATTTGGTCGCTGACACTAAAACGACGTCGTTTTGGTATCTAAATTTGCATATAGACATTAGCCGACCAACAGGTTGGTAAGGGATAACTTTACTAATTCAAACACATATAAATCATAAATACGCGCCTCTTTCACACCTCAGTCGAATTCGATCAAAGCTCAGTCGCGCCAATCACCTCACCTTACCATCGACCTTGCCGTCCGTTTGCATCGCTGTCTGTCTGTGCCACCGTCCGTCTTCGCCATTTCTGATTCATCTAGGTATTTTTTTTCAACTTATAATAGTTTCTCTTTGTTTACATCTCTATGTCTCACTTTTTCTTTTTGATTTCTCATACTCGTCTTGTTCTACAATGTCTCACCCACCAGGGCCCTCACCATCGCGATTTTTCAGAGCATCTTCAACTCTCCCTAAAAACAATTTTAGGTATAAATCCTCTGTATCACTCTCACTCACTCAGTCTCTGTCTGTGCCTCCCTCTCACTGTCAATGTTTCTGTTGATGTTTGCTACTGGGATATGTCGATAATAAGATTTCGTTTTGTTGTTTGTGAAGTCCCCCAATCTGTGATGTTCTTGTAGTGTTTTATTTCTCCTCTTTCTTTAAGTATCCCTTTTTATATTGGGAAATATACTTAATGAGAATAAAAAAATTTTGGGTGCTTTTGTAAGTTATTTGTAATTTGATTTCCAAACAAGTTAGTTGGTTAATAGGATTTATTATATTTTTTAAGTACCCTTAAATGAGCCACAAGCTCTACAAGGACTTACCCTATATACCATCCTTTAGAAGTTGGAGTTGAATTTTTAAGAAGAGACTTAAAAATAAAAAAAATAAATGAAAAAAGAGAGTGAATCTACGTACACAGAAAAATCTATGTACACAGAAAAATTTTGGTTAAAAACCTTGCTTCCCAAACAAGGGTTAAAAGTTGGAGGAAAATAGTTCAATTTATTTAATGGTCAAGAAATTGATGCCCTGATTATATAAAGCAGATACCTTCATTTCTACTTTGATTCATTTGGTATTATTTCTTCAAAGTTAATTATAAACC